TTATTTTGCTGTGATTGGGATGTTCCGGGCTACAACCTGCAGGTGAGGTCAGGACTTTGAAGACCTTTTTAGGGCCAGCGTCACAATGACGTCAGTTTGTTAGCTGGAGGCAAAACACACCTCGGCACCACAGGGCTGTAGGCTACATAGGAGTCTTAAAATGTCATCTTGTTATGTTATTGGGAGCCAGAATAGAAGGAGTCATGACTGCTACTCACACTTCATATCAGGTTAGGGAAAAAGTATTTCCTGTTGTAGGGATGAATAACGTTATGTGTATTAAGGGTTATCATGTTCACCTCATCAGAGATTGGGGAGGTATGAAGAGGAATATTGGATTTCTTTGCAATGCTAACTTTTTAGCACATTAGCTAACATTACCTTTGATAGCAAAACAAACTGGAGGAAACTGTACAGGTGTTGGCCTCCTCTGTAAGACTAGCACAGTGATCAACCACAAAGCCTCCTGTGACATCATCCATCCACTGTACAGTGTTTACTTATTCAAGTAAAACTCGCGGTCCCGCAGAGTGTGTGACCTGACATGGTGCATTCATAAATTCAGTCTGACACTCTACACTAAACTGAGAGGCCTCCTGGTCAAATGAACCGAGCATTATATAGCTATATAAATTAACAAGTGGTTAAGTTTGTCACGTAGCAGTTCAAGGAGGACCCAAATGCGGACTAACAGGCAGGTTGAAGTTTTAACAAAAAGGGAGCTTTACTATAGCCGATGAAAAACATCCAGATAGCCTACAGCAGGTAACTGAGAGTCCAAATGAAAGCAGAACAAAAAAAATAGCCTAAAAACCAACTGGGAAAAATACAGTGAACTCAGGAAAATTCAAACACAAGCTATCAGGCAGGATATGGAGCAAGGAGGACATCAAGAACACAGGGATGAAGACAGGAATAACGCAGGAATGACCACAGACGAACTGACAAAGAACAAAGGGAAACACACAGGTATACATAGAAAACTAATCACAAGAATGAGACACAGCTGGAGTAGGAGGACATTAGGGTGGAGCAAATGAGACTAATACAGAACAGGTGTGAATAGAATACTTTGGGAACAGGTAAGGACTAACGAGACAGGTGTGACAGAAAACAGGCGGGAAAACACACAAAGACAGGAAGTAAAACCAGACACAACACACGAGGAGAGAATCTACAAACAGGAAGCAGATTAAACATGAATGAATAACGTACGTAACACAACCAGAAAACTCCTAAATTAAGTCCATAGGATAACAGTATATAAACAAACACTCCGCTTGGCGCTCTGGCACTCCATCTCTATAGACAGAATGCCCAGAGTATGCTCTGCCACTCCGAGAGTGCGGTGCTCTGGATAACTTGAACGGTAGCCTACATTCCAACAGCATTACGATTTACGAACGGTCCAGTTTGAGCCAAAGAGCACTCCTGCACTCGGAATAAGTATTTCTGAACGCACCACTTGCATCATCTTCCTCCATTGTCTAAAACAAGCCAACAGAACTTGCTAGCTAGCGCTGGCTAATGTCTATGGAAAATTGTTTTGCCACCAGTTAAGCCCCACCCACCAAAAAACATCACACTGTTTAATAACAGTAAATAGGTCTATAAAAATGTAGCAACCAGGTCTCAGACTCTAAGCAGGCGGCATCCAAGAGGAAGCTATGAAAATTGAGGACATGGCGTCGAAAAACCAAAAACATAAATAAACAAACAAACAACCCCACTCCCCGCAATTATCGTAAAACAAAACACCAGTTCGGGGTTGGCTTTCAATTTCACTTGCAATACTAAAGGATTATGCAGCTTTGGTGAGGGGCATGTACTCTGCTTACTCCCTACTTGTTTGGTATATGTATTTTTTTTGCTCCAGTATTTTATCTTCAGTTCATAGAGACTTACGCAGTTTGTTGTTTTGCACACACACACACACACACACACACATACGCTCATAGACACTCTAAAACCTCAGGGGTGTAGCTAAGGTAAACAGAAGAAAACAGAGAGAGAGGGTTTAACCTTTAACACAGAGTACAGAGAGGCTGCTTGTCTTTCAGCCAAAATGCCTTGAGAGCCTTCAGGCATCCGGTACACACACACACACACGAACATATGGACTGCCAGAGGTCACTTCAATTTGCCATTTCTACCCCTAACCTATAATCTAGCCTCATAGCTGGGATTCTCTGTTGATCCTCGGTTATGTAACGTTCTTTATGTGTGACCTACTGACCGGTTGCTACTCTTAAGTCAAATCTCCTTCACTCTCTCCATGTGAACAGAGCATTTAAACCACGCACAATTTATATTCCAAAATGTTTTTTTTTTATTACACCGTTCGTCTGAATGAATGTAAGAGAATCATCACATCGTGTCTGGTTTTGGTTCTTTGCTATTTGTCACTTGAAATGTTTTGCCTGTTTATTCCTTTCCTGTTTGACTTCTCATCCTCTCCCACACTGAAGTTATTCAGATGGATTACAGGCAAACTGAAGTGTTTTCTATACCAGAAACGTCACATTATCTCCTCTCGTAAACTGTAAAACCAGGCTAGACATGGCGGAGCATTCGAATTCAAAGTGGTGTCTCAGTTTAATGATGCAGTTGTGAGCTATTAGGATACTGCTGCAACACTAATGCAGCTGCAGCACAATCAGAACAAATCACAACGAATATAAGTTGATGTTTGATACTTTTAGTTTCTATATTTTCTACAGAATTTTTGTTTAAAAAGTTTGTTGGAAGTGCTGCCCATGAGCTGCAATACTTTCATCTGCTTCCGTCATGGACTGTTTCACTTATTTTTATTCCCATGCCCGTTTAATAAATGATTAGAAAACTGACAGTGCAGGAGGCATGACTCAGCACTTTAGTATCCCAGTGTATTACACACCCAAACACACACAGACAACACAGAGGAGCGCTGACTGTTCTGTGATGGTGTGGCAGGTATCTGTCAGTCTTAGCCAATTCACTAAAATGTTTAATATCTTTAAAGACTATTACATTCTGCTGTTGTAAAGTGAAGCTGTCATCCTTGATTCCTAATTGTATCTCATATATTTGCCTGCGGGCGACACAGTGGTGTGGTGGTTAGCACTGTCACCTCACAGCAAGAGGGTTGCCGGTTCGATCCCGGGTGTAGGAGCCCTTCTGTACGGAGTGTGCATGTTCTCCCCGTGTCAGCGTGGGTTAGCTCTGGGAACTCCGGCTTCCTCCCACAGTCCAAAGACATGCAGGTTAATTGATAACTCTAAATTGTCCGTAGGTGTGAATGTGAGTGTGAATGGTTGTTTGTCTCTATGTGTCAGCCCTGCGATAGTCTGGCGACCTGTCCAGGGTGTACCCTGCCTCTCGCCCAATGTCAGCTGGGATAGGCTCCAGCCCCCCCGCGACCCTCATGAGGATAAAGCGGTTAAAAGACAAATGAATGAATGAATATTTGCTTGCATTTTTGTCACAGAAACCCTGAGCAAGCAGACACTGAATAAAGTTTAATTTTGTTTTTCATTAATTAGTAGTTTTTAAGGGAAATTAAAGATGCCATTTATAAGATAAATTCCCATTGCCTTTAATAACTTTTGATAGTGACTGTGCAGAGTTTTTAAAATAAAACTTCATATCTCTTAAAGGAATAAATGCACCAACCACTGCGCCTGAAATGTGGGTTCACTGATTGGAGTTCATCCACAAAACATCAAACGATTGGATGTTGAGCGGCAGCCTTTGTTGGCCAAACAAAAAAAGAAATCAGAGCACATTTCCTAGACCACAGAAGGAAAACATGCCCCACATTCGTTGTCTTGCATCCCTTCTTGGCATACTTCAGCTCCGATTTCTATTTGATTCCCCTCTCTCCCATTCAATGTTTTATTTTCCGTCCTTATCTCAGGCCGAGGACAATTTTCTATCACTGTCTAAGAAAGCCAGAGCGTAACTGACATAAAGGGAATTTTCACATTATATTTATCTTGTCTTCAACAGATTCTTTGACTTTGACCTGTCCAAAAAGGTTGAGGTTATTTTATCACAATAAGCACAGCCTGTCACATAAACAAGATGACATAATAAATAACTATACCACAGTTATGAAAGCTGGAGATTTAGAGCCCACCGTGACACAAAGACCAGACGCTTTTATGTCTCATTAGTCTTCCGAATAATCAGTGATGACACTGATGAAGACGTCTTTAAATATGACATCCTTCTGCCATTATTGCAACTGTTTCACAATCACTTAAATGACCTATTCCCATTTCCTTTTACATTTTCCTGATTTATTTTACACTTCAAACATCTGGGCGATCTGTTTTCTTGCAATTTGGCAGCTTGCAGTAAAGCAGCATGCACTCTGATTGGATTGATTAGTGGATGGAGTTTGCAGACTTGAAAGAATAAGTTAAAGGGGCAGTTCACTCTAAAATCAAAAGTACATATTTCTTCTCTTACCTGTAGTGCTATTCATCAGTCTAGGTTGTTTTGGTGTGAGTAGCCAAGTGTTGGAGATATCGGCCATAGAGATGTCTGCCTTCTCTCCAATATAATGGAACTAGATTGCACTCAGTTTGTGGGGCTCAAAATGGGTGTAGTTTGGTAGAAAGAAAACAGTTCCTACATCAAACTGCTCAGATCAAGCACGTTCAAGAAAAAGCAGACATCTGTGTGACCGATATCTCCAACACTCTGCAACTCACACCAAGTGTTGGGAGAATAAAAAGCACTAACACTCTGGTCACACTGTCTGTGTGAGCAGTGCATGACGGCTTCACACAGACAGTGTTGCTGCTGCAGCGCTGTTGCAGAGCTGTCTGCCGCTGCTGCTGCTGTACTGTACTGTACTGTACTGTATTTCCATGATTAAAAGCGGACTGCAACTGCATTATCAACACGGTCCTGCAAATATTTCACAATAAAAAACTTTGTGTTAAAAAATTAAGGGATTATGTCCACAGATATGGTGTCAGAGGGCTTTTATTCTGAAACAAATACAAGAAGTGTTGAGTTAAAAACAAATTTTATTTTTTTCATGTCTGTGACAGATAGACATTGAAACTGTGAAATGTTGTATGATGTTGATATGGTTATCAAAACACTGTTTGCTGAAACCACACACATCACATGAAAAATAGGCGAGCCTCCTATTCTCTAGATCAGAGGCTCTCAACTGGTGGGTTGCAGTCCAAAAGTGGGTCCCAAGTCCATTCTGAATGGATCCCAACTGACTTGCAAACATGCCAAGTTTGAAAAAAGCACACTGTATTTTATAGTACAGTCAATTTCCGGCAGAGCTATTATTTTGAAGTGCCATTTCCTGCTGTAGAGTGAGTGACTAACAGATAGCTACGTGACAGAGACAGCAAATGTCGTAAAAGTACGACGCTTAATATATTAAACTGTGTGGGCCTTTAACTAATGATGAAGGAGAAATGTGAACTTCGTGGCTGGACCAGTTGGGAACCACTGCTCTAGATGTTCCGCAGCTGCTCACGCGGGCAGTGTGGCTGCTCTAACCTGTTCACACAGCTGTGCTGAATCTTCCAGATGATTAGCAACAAACCACTGGTTTCTTCTCAGACCAAACCAAGCTTTTCCCTCCCTCCACATTCCCCACAGATTTGTTCAGAGCCTGTTGTACAGAGAATAAATAGACTTTTATTAACATAGGGAGCCAAAAACTCACACTTGGAATGACAGAGAGAGAGAGATAAAGAGATCGATGACTTTAGCTACAACAAAGAGGTGGCTAAAGGTGAAGGCAAAAGTGGAGGTTGACAACTTTGTAGTGTGAATCAGTCACTCAGCTCCCTCTAACAAAACACAGACGAAACTCACGGACACATAGGGCCTTTTATAAATCTACAGTATATTCTCCAGTGAAATGGTGGCAGATGGGTTGGTGAAGTTTTCTTGCTGTCAAGCCTCTTGTCATTGTCTGTGGTGTCACAGTCACAAATTGTCTTCATCTTCAGTGAGCACTTATGTACAGTGAAGTCCAACAAAGTCCATGACAATGGGTATTTTTATGTGACAGCAGTTAAACCACTTTACCTGCTTCTTACAGTAAAATCAACGACTTGAACATGTGGTGTCAGAACACTTGGTTAAAAGATGAACTGTACAGTTCAACTCACAGTATTCGACTGCGCTTTAGAAACACACCTGTGCATTTTGTGTCACTGGGTCAACACCAGTACATACTGTGTCGACACAGTGCTTTTTGATAAAATATATTGCATGTTTCATTATAACACTGTCCCAAACTATTCGTACTACATTACAGATTCTATTGGCTAAAATAAAAACAGGCAAGACAAAGTTAAAAGAGTGATCCTAGATGAGCATTTCTACTCTGATGAATAAAGGAAATGCCTCTAAGCTTGTGTCAAAGCAAACAAGTTGTGTTCAATGTCGATCGAAGTGAAAGCAAAAACAATAAAATTCACAGTGAAACATCTCATTTTAGTTACTAACCTAACATCACAGGGATGGTACATCATCAGAAGACATCGGACGTCCTTATTAAGAGTTCAGAAGGTGAACAGTTGGTGTATGAGCTCAGACTGAGCGACAGTGTGGATCTGTACATATGGGAGAACAAAAGTTCAGACGATCGAAATGAACTGGAGAGGAGGCAGTGAGGTGGACTGTGGTGCTGTGTGAGTCACTGTACAGTAACTTAAAGGCGCCGTATGTAACTCTGGAGGAAGACAGCTGATTTTTGAGTCTTTTTGATTTATCCTGGCTCCATATGAGCAGAGGAAATCTCCGCTCATCACTGGGCTAATATATACAATGTAAAATGCCATAGACTTGTGCTAAAAACATTAGCATGTTGTATTTGCAACCTGTCCTACTAATGTAATTTTCTGTTTAAACTTTGTTGTGTAGAAGTTTGTTTTGCCAGTCAGTCATGCAATGCCTTGTTGATTAATGTATAACGTTATGCATTATGACATTACGGCACAAAATAAGAGCTAGTAGCGACCCAGCTTGCTAACATTATAGCTAGCGTTTTTAGCCCTACTCTGTAAAGAAACTGTACAGCACTGAAGATCAGTTGCTGATTTATTTTTTCTCTTCGAGGACCGTCGATTTTACATTGAACTGACAGTTTATTACATGGCAAAGAAACTGGTAACATGTCATTATAAGTTAAACATGTACAGCAGGTTGTGTGCCACTTTTCATGGTGCATTGTGGGATACTTTGAGTCCACTATATAGGGTATAATAAATCCCACTCTACATTCATAGAGCACTACAAAATGGCTAACTCACTATATAGTGGACTGTATAGTGAGTAGTGAGTGATTTCGGACACAACCAAAGCGTCCATCGGCAGGTGAGCCTGACTCATGCAACGCCAACCAGTGCCCCTCTCCATCCCTGAAGGGTTGGAAGAGGAGGGAGAGACAGGAAGCGGCAGTGGTTAGGAAACCGTACACATTTATAGTTGTTGGGCTTATAAATGTTGTGCAGTGCCAGAAACAGCAAGTGATAATGAAAAGGAATAAAGTTGTGAAAATTTGTTATAAATGGGAGAAACAAAAGAAAATTGCTACCCAGAGGGAAACCAGTAGAGGGCAATAAAAAGCAGGAGTAGTGGTTCGGTCCCACTACCAAACCCAAAGTCCCACTACAAACCCAAAGCATCAGAATTTGACGACCTGTGAATGAGACTCAACAATCAACTCCCTTTCTCCAGGGTTACATACAGCACCGTTTTTTTAAATGAATAGTGCAGATGAAGCAATGATATTTACACTGTTTTAAGGGGTATAGAAAATGAGCTGCTGCATTATCTTCCCCTTATTATATCTATATATCTTACTCAATATAAAAAAAGAAAATCTATAGTCCCCTCCTCTACTGCCCCAGTGATTCCCAACCTTTTGCCATTAGCCTCCCCGCTTGTCTTTAGTCTGCATGCCCAAACAATTTTTCTCTTCGAGATATGAACAATTTCTCTCTGACATCAAGACAGAGCGGGACAATGAATGTGTGTTTCTATTCTTAATTTTAAAATCTAATGCAACATAATAATCTCTGTAATTATTTATTCATCAATCATGAATATTTTTTTTCCTGACTGATTCAATTAACAACATGATTCAGCAGCTGGCTACAGCGGCCAGGCTCCCTTTACTTTTGTGAGTTACTTGAGATTATTTTTCAAATAAAACACTGCGTGGCCCAACTCTTATCCAATGGGGTGCCCAGACTGTAGGTTGGGGACCACATACTGCACTTTCATTGTTTACTTTCTTTCTTAATCTCTTCTTCAACCCTAGTTTGTGCCGTCTTCCTTCCCATTCTCTCCTGCTGCTGCAACCAGCTATGTGAAGTCCTTGGAAACAGCCTCTATGAAGTTGGGTGCTGACATGAGGATGGTGAAGGTGCAAATGATGGAGAAGAGAGAGAAGGCCACCAGGCACAGCCGGTCCACCACCGCTGCTGCAAATTTCCACTCGCTGCAGATGGCCTCAGCCTCATCCTGGTCCCGGAACCGCTGGGCTATGTACGACACCTCCTCCAAGATGCGCTGGATCTCTGGCGGGGGGATGCTGACTCCCATCCCAGGTCCAGATCCCATCCCCAGGCCTCCGACGCCACTGCCAACTCCTCCAGGTGGCTCAGCCTCATCACTGGGGGAGCCATGGGCACGTCCCCCTAGTGCTACCCCGGAGTCGCTAGAGGGCGGGCAATGTGGGCTCTCTATCGGGTGGTAATTGCCAAAGTACAGGCTCATGGACCCGTTGGAGGTGCCTGTGGGGCAAGGCGGGCAGGATGTCTGTGAGAGGGGCATAGTGAGGCTTGGTACAGTGCCCATCTCTATGGAGCTGGTGCTGGAGTGGTGCTGGGATCTGTGACGGTACTTGTACCCAGGCCGCTTGCGCTCATCGCCAGGTTGTTTCATACGGAGAAACCAGGCACACCAGTTCAGCAGAACCACTCGAACCTGAAAGAGACAGAGAGCATTACACACACACACACACACACACACACATACACACATGCTGACACACTCATACACATTTGTGCTTAATGAGTTCGATGACAATAGAGATCTGATTAAATCAGTTTCAGTCACTCACCCACTTGGGCATCTTGCCTCCCTGAGGGTCATGATGGTGAAACTGCAGGACTATAACTGTCACCACCACGGACATTCCCACTATCATCATGGTGCTGGCAAAGTACTGGGCTGTCAAGTACACAAAAAGCATACCTTAAATTTTGTTCAAAGACTTAACTAAATTGAACTTCCCCATGGTCACGTTTAATGAACATGCACTAACAGGTAAAACATTAAGCTTGAATTAAGTCCAAAAAATAGGTTGATTTCACACTGTAACATGAAAGGAAAGCAAGTCTGATCAATTTGTGCAAGAAGTTATATTGCCGAGGGGGAATGATGCACACTTGCACTGAAATGGGGGGAAATAAAATCTGTGCAAATATTGTGAAAAAACCCCCCAAACAAACAGAGAATAGGGGTAAACAAACCAAAAAACAGTAGAGGAGAGAGAAAGAGAGATTAGTGCTGGGTCTGGAGGGTGCTTTCACCCATGGGGAGAACCGTAAGAGAGGAGGAACACGACTACAGCTGCTGCAGTACCAGCAAAGGCAAACTCTATGTGACCTTGTGAAGTCTGAGGTTGTGACCTAATTTGTTGGGATCATTAAAAGAAAGATGGAAGGAAAAAGGGAAGGGTGCCTAAAGGAATACCTCAATGCACAATCATTGATCATTTGTATATCAGTAACTCATCCCGTGTTATGTTGAATTTGGGAAGAAAACTTTGTTTTTCTTGCATGCCTCCATGGTGAATGAAGAATCCAAAAAAGGAGAACATTCTTGTTGAATTGACAAAATAGGTGACCACATTTAACAAAAGCAAAACTACATCACAGCATCCATTTACAAACTCTCACAACCAATCCAAGTCCCATTTATCCAGTCATATGCTTAGTACTTCCCAAACACATGGATTTTTGCTTAAAGCTTACTATTCAAAACACTTTGGCATAAACAGCACAGGCGCACTACTCATCTGTGCTTGAGCCATAAGGCCCAGACACACCACACTGACTTCAGAAAACTAGCGGCGATGAAGGCCCCCTGCTGTTCGTCGTGTCTCAGCCAAAAAGTTGCACATGACCACACCCCAAAGACTACAGCCGATGGCCAACCAGCACATACGTTCTGCCCGTGTGTGAGCGGAAATAATTCTCCACACTAGCAGACTGCGGTAGTCTGTAATATTCATTCAAAGAGTGACTGTCTTGACTAGTTTGACTAGCTTGACTTGAGCTAGTCAGTTAGCACAATAACAACACAATCCAGTGTTGATAAATAATCATATGTGCGCCAGCGAACAATAACACAAACAATCTCAAAGTGTTTCTGTAAAGAGCTAAATGGCTAAAGAGAAATAATCTTACATTATGTAACACATTTGTTTTGGTGACACTCGCTCTTGACTTTAACTGTTTACTTTCCTCACTTCTGTTTCTCTTGTGTGCTCAGTTGAACTGCCAATCAGAGTGATTTCATTAACCGACGAGAGGCAACGAGGTGGGACACTACGCACTGACTAAGGCGACAGATGCTCACCGACAGCCCAACGCTGACTGACAGCCAACCGTTGGCATGGTGTGTCAGGGCCTTTAAAACAGAGTGTTTTAAATACTGGTTTTAGTGAAGATGTGTGTGTTTTGGAAGCACTGAGGATACAACTGCATAAATGAGACTTGGATTATACTGCACGAGTTGTGTGAGAGTTTGGAAATGGTTGTTTTGATATAGATTTACTGTTGTCCCCTTTTACGTCAATTGATAAATAATGTTCTTTTTGGATTCTTCGTTCACTGTCAAGTCATGCAAGAGAAACAGTTTTCCTCACAAAATCAACACACCACAGGATGAATAAGTGATATACTAATGATCATTTGAGAGGTGAAGTATTCATTTAAGTGAGGGGAGAGGATCTGCAGAGGATGATAAAACCAGGACGTGGGCAGAGAGATGAGGGAAGAATAGAGCCAGGACACAGAACATAGCACTAAAGGATGTGTTTATGGGAGGTCGAAGGACATTTGCTGTGTCCTGACTGTTTTATGGTCAGTCACTAATCAATCTGCCTACAGATATAATGTACAATAATTCAAAACATAATTGTTAGGCCTTCGGTCACGAACCACGTTGTTGATTATGGCTGAACTAACTCAATTAAAAATGAATTAAAAACCGAACAGAATAAAAATGAACTGAACCAAATGGTCTTGAACTGATAAGACAGGTCTAACTAAATTAACTAAAATGAAATGAACACACTATGCTTATCAGGTGATTAAGGGCTGATGATAAAAGACATATGGCCTGATTCTGACAGCGGCGTCCAACACTTGCTTTATATATTTACAGTCAGGCTCAAGCAGCTACAATAACTCACATCCACATTCAGCCACAGCGTCGTAAAGGGTCATGAGTCATTTTAACAGGGCTGCTTAAAGTGTCCCAGATGGCCTTGTGTTGAGGTCGAGGAAAATAAAAAACACAGATTAATCACTCTATTGATGAAGCATTTATCAAGCTATTCTCAATGGGGGCAGTTATCACTACGTTGATGTAGTGGTGACCGTGTTCAGCATCACCAAACACTACTCACATCAATAAACTTACACAATGTACAGTTGATGTGCACAATATATTTCACTTTGACCAAGTTTAACAGATTTGATACATCACACACAGGACTGCAGTGATAATTCAAAGCGTGTAAACACACTCTCTCACACATACAAGACAAAAACACACACTTCTTCTCGGTGAGCTCTCAGTGGTGACAACTGAATTAGGAGTATTAACCTTACTAACATGTCTACCTCTTCACTTGCTCCACAAAGCCTTTGAGGCTTTTCTCTCTGAGAACTTCAGCCCCAAACGTTACTTATCTCTTCCCCTCTCTCCATCCATTATTTCTTCTTCTATCCCCCTTTTCTTCATGCCTCTCCAGTGGAGGATCAGACATTTCATAGCCTATTAATGGCACTGACAGCTTTAGTTCTGTCCGCCCAATTTAGTCCACACACCATCCAGGGGTGCTGTGAATGATGTATAGACGCCCTCAGGCTACTCAAAGTCAAACCCAGCCAGACACTAAGATGGGTTTTTGTTTATGATTTTTTCAGGAGACCATTTACAGTGTAAAAAGAGGTCAAGCAATACAGGCCTACATTTTAAAACACTCGATAATAATGCATGTTTTATATTACTGGTCAGGCTTGGGTGATATTTACTTTTTATACCTTCACACATTCCTGACATTTCACCAGTGTGGTTTACGATGGTATTTGTTTAAAAAAAAACAAACTTAAGAGCTGAGTGATAGAAGCCATTTAGTGTGTGTAACATTGTCTATGGTTGGGTGAAATGTTATCAACTGGCCATCATCAACCAAACACCCGCTCTGCCAAGGATATGAGTTCTTTCATTTATGGCCAAAAATGTGTTTTGTATGGTCACAGTGGCGTTAGACCAGCAAATTCTAATGAGTTCATCCCTGAATCCAACTGGACGTTTGTGCCAAATTTGTGAAAATTCCATCAAGGCGTTCTTCAGGTATTGTGTGGGACAGATGGACAAACTGATGTACAACCTGACAACATGATGCCTTCGGCCACAGCTGTCCCCGCCGTGAAGGCATAAAAGTTTTCTCTCTTTCACTAAACTACGACTAGCTTGTAAAACATACTTTATTCAAACTTGACAACCCGAATAAAACTCCCAAAACCCTCTTGGTTTGTCTTCCCATTGTTCAAACAATCACAAACTCTGGTTTGGTCGAAATACATCCTCAGTTCACAGAGTTATATGTGAAAATATGCTGGCTCTCCTGCTGTTTTTCCCTCTCGGCTGTAGCTGGCCAGCTTTTTACTAGTCCTGTAACATTATCCCTACCACTCATAGTCATCATGTTTGTCAGCTCAGATGCCTGTTCCACCAGTAGAGGTTGACCTCTGGTGACGTGTGATGTTCACTAAAATACATCAATACAGCATCTACATTATTGACAGTATTGAAGATCATACCATCAGGATTTAAATACCCTGGTTTAGTGGGATTTATACTCGTGCGTCTAATTGACCCCGTACCTACGGCATAGACTCTGTGTCAACATAGAGCCTATGCTGTGCCTTATGCCGTAGCCTGACGTGCCACCCCAGAAATGTAACTACAGGTTGTGGTGATGCAGACCTCTTGCTTGTCTATTTTTGTAAGCTGAAACCATTTCCCTCAGTGGAAACAAAGCTTTAATTTACTTTAATTTCACAGATACGAAACAATAAATTGTGAAAACAATAAAGCATCCACAAAAATAGCATTTGAGTGTGATTTATCCTGGCTTCTGAGCAGAGTAAATCTCTTCTCGTCACTAGGCTAATTTATATTTATACAATGTAAAATGCCATAGGCTTGTGCTAATAACGTTAGCATGTTATACTTGTTTGGAAAATGTGTTCAGTATAAGACAGTTGTTATGTCAGTGAACCTTGTGAGTTGTAATGGAGCCTAATTTTGTAACATTACCTGTGTTAAATGTTGCTGTTTTCCCTGGCTTCATATGGGAGAGGAAAATTCTGCTAGCCACTAGGCTAATTTATACAATGTAAAATGCCATAGGCTTGTGCTAAAAACATTAGCATGTTTTATTTGTGAGTAAAATGTGTCCAGCAAAAGACAAATCCTTTGTCTGTGACTGCTGCAAGTTATAGTGAAGCTGATTTGTGTACTTGTGTTTGAAATTGTCTCTATTAAATGTGTGTTTTGGGTGTGATTTGAATTAACTAAACTTTACAGCACTTCACAGAAACCCCGCCCCCAACTAGTCCTGTCACAATAATCAATAAATCAATTAATCATACAATAAATGAAAATGAACTCAATAATTTTGCTGACCTCAATATATCGCCAGTTCATTTTATTTATTGTTTTTGGTTGTTTTGTTTTATTTATTTAGGATATTTTAATTTTCTTCCTCACATTCCAATTCAAATGTTAAATATTCTTGAGAAATAAAAGTTTATTTCTCTTTGAAAGGGTGTAATTGCATTATTATGCTATATTTTCATTATATTTTGAAAAATGGTCTCAAAAAGACATTGACAATAATATAATTTATCGCAATAATTTCTGGGAAAATATATCATCCTGCAAAATTTGTTATCGTGACAGGCCTACCCCCAACTAGTGTTTTGAAAGTGTAACTGCAGAGTGACAAAAACACACCACCGTACAGTACACACTGCATAGATCTGATGCACAAGTATAAAGCCACCTTAATACTGTGATACCGCCCAAGCCTATTAACTGGCGTTTACTGGAAGTTCAAGAAATACTGTGAGGGACAGTCTAGCTGGTACTGTTTACTGGTCTGAGTGTTGATGTACTAATTCGATATCAGAGTCACTTTAGATTGACTGTTTTCTAATGAATCTATTTCCCCTGTGTTTAGTGAAGCTTCTCTCAAGAGGTAAACACATGTCAGGTATAGATCTGGTAAGATATACTGCATCTGTTCAAAAACTGATGTCTGTGTGGAAAAATGTCCTGTCTGTCATGATGACTTCCCTTCTTAGTGTCACCTTCTCCTGGTTATCATACATTCATGCACACATAAGCATGTAACATGCAGACACACCCACACACATAAATATAACCCACCGATAAGAGGAACTGAATCGGACGTGGCAGGCATGATCTCTGCTACCAGAAGCATGAAGACAGTTAGCGAAAGCAGCACGGTGATGCCTTGAGTCAGGGATCGAGAGACACACACAGAAAGAGAGGAGAGAAGAAAGAGAGAGAGAACATGAGTATATACATAGTGATGTGATCAGGGTCACTGGTGTATGAAATCATTCCTGTAATTACTTATGTATGTAATCAGTTATGTTCTCGTGACTACAACCATTTATCAGCTGCTGGCTCCTCTGACGTCTCCAAGGTGCGCTACAGCTCCAGAAATCCTTCAAACACTTTGACTTAACCGGTGACTGCTCATTCACTGACGGCTATTCATCACAACTCACTGGCACTGATAGAATTCCTAAACAGATTTAGTGGCAAGCCTCTTATTTTGAAATTCAATTATTCCAAGGTGATTTGACATGCATGTATTCATGGCTTGCTATATAATTCATGATGACAAATGTGCATGACAAAATTCATGAGTGTGCTTTCATATGTTTATGTATTGGTGTACAGTTGTGACAGCATCTGTATAAGCTTGAACAGCTTCAAACTAAATTTTGTATATGGTTCTTGGTGTTTAAAAACCACATTACTCCAAGTTTTTAACTTACTAAATGCCCTTTTCTCAAAGAAGCTGTATGCGACATTCAGAGCGTATCTATGATTCAGAGGTTGTCTGCACACGGTTCTCAACATGGAGGTGGCTGACCCAGCAGCTAGCAGCTAATGATGTTATTAGTGTGAGCTGTGCTAACAACAGCAACAGTGCTGACAGGGCTAACGGTGTTAACTGAAGGGTGAGAGCTATGCTTCTGCGACAACGGCGTTCCGGTATCAGCAGTAACCACTGTGTGAGCTGCAGGTTGGGTACCACCAGTTTCCACCAAACACTTTCGGTATGGTACCTTTGGAACCAAAGTAACCCTTCAGACATGGTACCTAGACCCTGGGTCTGTTTAGTGTTGTCACCACCAACAGTACTCTTATATGTGGGCGGGGTTGTTGTCACTCACTGCTGAAGTCCAGCACTCACTGTATTTCCTCCTTTATCAGTCTACACCACTTTTTTTTTAAGATATTTTGTGGCATTTTAGCCTTTAATTGACAGGACAGACAAGCGTGAAAGGGGGAGAGAGAGAGAGGGAGTGACATGCAGCAAAGGGCCACAGGCCGGAGTCGAACCCGGGCCACTGTGGCAACGGCCTGGGGCGCCTGCTCTATCCACTAAGCCACCGACGCCCCAGTCTGCACCTCATTTACCATCCACAGAGTGGGGTTGCATACCGACATTTTCAGAACAAAATAAAACAGGCTGCAGTAAGAGTCCCTCTCGATGGGATATTTAAAAATAGCAGGTTCGTGCGTTTAGTCAGAGGAGCACAGGAGAGCCAACTCCTCGGGTCATGACTTGGCTGTCCGCTTACAAGGGAAGGGACACTCCTTTGAGGACAGCAATGTGCACATCTTGGCCAGAGAGGAAAGATGGTTTGAAAGAGGAGTAAGAGAAGCCATCTACGTCAAGCTGGGACGACCATCGTTAAACAGAGGGGGTGGCTTACGACACTACTTATCCCCCACCTACAATGCAGTCTTGGGATCCCTCCCCAGACAGCTTCACACCCATTCACCCCTGGTCCCACCTGACCCTAATGACACACATGGTGGCCAGGTGGGTCAACGACTCACATTGTGACCTTAATGACTCTGAAACTAAGAGCTGACGTGACCCCTACGACTCTGCATGGGTTCCCACCCACACAGGGTTTATAGCCTGTAACTTCGTACCAGTCATTTAGAAATGAAGAAGCTTCTTGGATGAGAGGCAAAACATCTTCAAGAAATGCAAGCAAGTCCGGTTGCCCACGATATAGCACTTACGAGTGGTTACATGAGCTTCAAAACCAGCCACAACTCAGCCCCGAGCAGAGTGACCATCAGCTATTGACCAATCAACAGACTGCAGTGTTTATAGCTCCATCTTTTAGTACCAGATCTGTGTGCTAGGTACCCCAACAGAGGGGGGACCAAAAATGGGAACTTTACGGGACAGTTCCATTGGTACCATCCACAACTTTTTTAGTGGAAACGGAAAAAAAGCGTACCGAACTGAATTGTACCATACTGCTTGGGGGAAATGGGTTTAAGAGCGCACCTCGGTGAGAACACCTGGTTCAGACAGGAGGGTGAAGCACCGCGAAACCCAAACCCAGGAAGCTGCCCACGGAGCTCCGTCGCTGCCATCCCGGCTTCAGGTTGCTTTGCGTCAGAGACAAGAGAGATCCATGAACCCTCAGGGTTCAAAAAGGAGTCAGAAGCACCTAAAGTGCCATGAAACCATAAGCCATCCATGGAGCTCTTTGGCTTACCAGCAAGTCGAAACCATTCCTGCAGCACTGATAGTTTTGATCTATCTAGTCTGTTTTCTATTTCATTTCATTCTATTCTATTTTATTTTATCAGTAGCTAAGTTTGTGATTGTGTTTTTTAAATTATGTACTTATTACACATATTTTTCAGTGTCTAAACAGAGAACGAATGACGCTAGCAGACACGGGTGCATACAGGTGTGCACACACCCACACACACACACACACACACACACACACACACACACAAGCAGAGGAGCAAAATCGCTTGTTGACAGCAGCTTATTCAAAAATGACATTTTTGCCATTACACAAAGAATAAAGTACCGAAAAAAAAGGTTCCATTGGATACCACACAAACAGGAAGCCTGACTTCATTCTCTGTTTAGGACGCCATTACTCCACTTTATCTTTACATCGCAAATGGTGGATTGCTGCTATATTAATGCTCTGAATGTTGTACAGAGCTTCTTTAAAAAAACTGTACAAAACATCTTCACCTTCGCTCTTTCTTCCATGGATCAATAACACTTTTTTAAGTGTGTGTGTTCATGTGTGTTTCAGTCCTTCTCACCCAGAGAAATCTTTTCCCCCGAGTCTGCAGGTAGAAGGAAGACAAGCAGGGCCAAGCCAGAGATCAGTACACATGGGATGAGCAAATTGAGGCCATAGTATAGCGTCCTGCGGCGCATGGTGACTGTGAATGTCACATCAGGGTAGGGCTCCTTACAGCACTCATAGTACAGCTCATTGCGCTTGGCTGGCACACCTAAGAGAGGAGCACAACACATACAGGTCAGGGAGATTCTTGTGGACTAATAAAGTGATTCAATATTTAAATAGCTTCTATAATGTGTGTAAACCAGATAGAAGAGAAGGAAAGAAAAGATGGGTCTAAATATTTCATGGGTCGCACCGCTCAGATGGGACTTGGAACTTTGCTCTGCTTTTATTTTATCTAAGTATTGTTAGTAAAATGTTATGTAAGCCAAAAAAAGCTGAAGAAAAAAGCTGAAACAGTTTAGATTTTTGAGGGCTGACCTATCTCACCTTCAACTCCAACTCTGGGGATGTGGTGTGCTGCTGTCACATATGGTCTGGCTACACACCTGCCAACGCGTCAAACATTCCTATTGCACGCCATCTGGCGCCGTCTGACACCCATTTCCAGCTAACCACCATCCCGGGGGCACAGGCGCTGGGATCTGCAGCTACTCTGTCCCAGCTGGAGACACCCCGCTTGGGAGGTCTTCCAAAAATTCCTCCCTTTCCAGTTCATCCAGCTACAACCATACAAATGATATCCCATTGCGACATCATTTATATAAGAGTCTGGACACAGGGAGTTGGCAGGGCCTGATCCCAGTGTAATGAGGGGGGAGGACAAATGTAGAGAGGATATTTATGTACCCATAGGAGGATGCAGGGGACACGAGACCTCAATAATGACAACAGGTGCATTTGTCCCCCAGATAAAAACATTAGATATCAGAGGACTTGTCCATCACAATTTGGTGCAGATTAAGTAAAAACTGATGCAATGTTGAAACAAAACCAAAACGCCTTTGTATGCATCCATAAGTATTTTACTCTGCAGCCTGTGTAGCATTTTTTGGGTCAGTTATGTCTGAATATTTCAGCTTTGTTAAACATTAAAACCATGGAAAATACTGACTTAAGGAATCTGGTGATGGAGTATCTCACTTTCTATTTCATAGACTGAACACGGCAGTTGTATTTTTATAGTCCCTGAGAGAATTGTTTTCAAAGTTTGTTTTAAACTCATCTCAGGACGCAGATGGGGAAATATAAGGGGATGTTAAAATATACTTACTTAACTATACAATTAAAGTGAATTCTCAAGTAGGGCTGCACCCCAATAGTCAACTAAATGTTAGTCGACCAAAAAGGTCATAAGTCGGCAAGACTTCATTGGTTGCTTAGTTGGTCTGGTCTCTTCTTGGTCACTTCTCAGACCTTGATCTCAAACCACTGTGTTGTCCAAAATATATAATTCAATAATTAAATTAATATCTTAAACATGCAGGCAACTAGTCGACTAATGTCCCTAAATGATGACTACTGGTCGACTAGGCAAATTCATAGCCAAGGGCAGCCCTATACTCAAGCACAGCCATCTATGCTGACGATTGTACTTCCAGGGGTAAACAGTGCATCTCTCTTACCCACAAGATCCCACTCTCCATTGGGTATGTAAGTAGATGTGTCCACATCCAACATCTGGAGGTCCAGCAGCCAGCCGTTGTGCGTCCATGAGCCAAACTTCAGGTCGCATTTTTGCACGTCGAAGGGAAACCAACGCACGTCAATGTAGCAGGTGCTCTTCAAGATGCCAGGGGGGATGTACTGGCAATAACCTGACGCATTCACCAGCACGTTGGTGTGGAAGGTGGCATCAAACCGCTCGTCCGCACTGGTAACAGAATAAGAGAAAGCAATGTGTGTGTAAAGTTTATTACAATAACTGTTTGAGTTTTTTTGCCCCTTGGAGGAAACAGAACCAAGTTGGTAACACATAGCGTCACATTTTATGTTGATATAGCAAACTTGTTAAGAAACAGTTGCTAATTTGCACATCCAGCAGTTTTGGAGCAACCTTATCTATCACTTGGAGTTTTGGTTTCTACCAACTCCTGAGGGAATGATCTGGCTCTTTAGCCATGTGTATTTGTATACCTGTTTAAGTGTGCCCATGGGTGCAGATCTGATGACAAGTTTGGGGGGGACACAATCAGTTGTGATTTTTTTTTAATTGCACGCATGCAAATCATGCCCACAGAGTGCTTGAGATTGCCAGCATATTTCACGATTTCATAGAGGCTCATCACCATCACCAAGTCATTCAAAAAGCACTACAAAGAGAATCATATGCTTACCTTTACTGTTTATTTCTCTTAAACAGCCAGTAGTACATGGAACCAGCCATCACCCTCCTTTTCACTGCTTCGGTGTTAGTTAATGCTACTTCTAGTTTCAGGGTCTCAGGCATGTTATGTCCACTCACGTTCTCATCTCTCGCCTCTCACGGATTCCCATTTCTCCTCATCATCTTCCATTTCTCCCAGTATATAGGAATACTGTATACATTTGTTAAATTTCAATCATTTAAGCTATTTAGAATTGGGGGGGACAATTTGTGTTTTTCAGAATTTGGGGGGGGACATGTCCCCCCCGGGATCTGCACCATGAGTGTGCCAGTCTCCTTGCTGTTTCTGCCCAACCTGCCACAGCAATGAGCAGTGAAGTGATATATCTACAAGCCATCTGTGGAGCAACCAGCCTGCTGCTCCACTCCTTCACCCCACACATGCACAGTTAAAACCCAAGTGAAATTAAATATTCACTTCCAACGTTAATGCTATGCCAAATATGCAGTAACAGGAACCAAATCAGTGACATGAGAAACACCACAGATGCCTCCTTCAAGGCTCTGCAGCTCCCAACCTGCTGGGATGATGTAAGGACAGGTTTTATACAGTACAACTTAAGTTTCAATATTTAAAGTTTGAGACTGATAGGGCTTCACTCGCCAGATTCTGAAACAGCAGCACAAGTCAATGAAATCAAGAAAAAAGTAGCATCTATTTTCTCTGAGAGTCCTGGGAATAGCAAGCAAAGCTTTTGGGAACAGATACTTACAGAAAAGACAACACCTGGACACCTAACCTTAGACCCACTTCAGCTCCGGCACTCCAGATGAACTCTAATTAAGAATTAAAGAGCAGCTTCTTCGGTGTCGGCGAGAGTGTGAACTCTTAAATAAAGTGCCGGAGGCAAAGGCTGAACTTAGAATTTAGTCAGTGTCTTCTGTTTTGTTTCTTCGTACAGCACATGGCCAAAATCCTGTTCATACTAATTGATTCTCCACTGTAGCACGTAGCTGGAAGGATGTATCTCCTCTCCCCCGCTTCATTGCTACGTATAATTAAAACATGCGGGCAGCTTAAGAGAATAAAAGATATATAGTCAACTTAGAGCTGAAAAAGTATGAAAGCAAAATACAGGAAATACAATTTGCCATTGTGATATATTTAATTTGGATTATCCTTTTAACTCAGAGAAACTAATGTTATTTAATTGACTATCTTAGCCAGAATTCATCTGGATTTACATGCCTCCATTTACAGTTACATAACCAGTTCCTCTTTATCTGTTTCCATCAGTCAGACGGGGGTGGTGGTGATTATATTTTTCTACATTGTTTTACTTAGATTTATTTGTCACTTGTTGACAGTCTGGATGGAGGTAATTGAATAAAACCCACAAAGGACAGTCATATCACAAAATCATCATTTTGAAAAATTTGTAACCACTATTTGGTCGAAAAAGTACTACAACTTAAAGGGGACCTGTTATGCTTTTCATTATTTATTTGTCATATATTGAACGTTATAATGTCGAATGTTTATATAAAATGTGGCAAAAGTTTCAAATGATGAGGTAAGCGTATGTAAAAGTAATCCCTGTGAGCCAAAGCCTCAGGTTTCAGACCGCTCTGAATACTCTTTCCAATGTTTTTTTCTTCTTACAGGACAAGCTGACGTCAGTTTGTGATAGATATCTTTATATGGTCATCTGCTTCAGGCACGTTATTGCAAGTGTTATTATGTTATGCATATTACAAGACATACACTGCTACATGTAGCTGCATGCTACAGTCAGGGCAACATGTAAAAATTGTTGCTGGTGTTAATTTCTCCCCAATTTCAGATCATATTCCTGCTGGAACATGTCCAGTTGTGTTTAGAAGCTTTTACTGGTGATTTTTAACAGGTAAAAGTGCTGCAATATAATCATCCAGTGACTGAAAGTACATTGCTACATGTAGCTACATGCTAACATCATGGAATCGTACGATTGTGTTTGCAAATGTTGTTCATTTCTCCCCAATTTCTGTTCATATTCCTGCTGGAACATGTCCAGATGTGTTAAGGAGCTTTTATTGGTGTTTTTTAATGTAGAAAATGCTGCTATTCTCTGTTACAGTCATTCCCTGGCTGCAATGACAGTACAGAGACATAGCCTAGAGATGCGGAGACTTGTAAACTAATCAGAGCAGACTGGGCTTCTTCAGTAGGGGGGGCTTAAAGAGACAGGCACAAAAACAGAGCGTTTCAGAAAGAAAGTGAATATATGTGTTCCAACACAGACAGTGTCAGGAAAATAAAGTGTTTTTTGACCATTAAAGCATGTGAACATGTTCTAGCAGAAACCTAAAATACAAGTATGAACCTGGAAATTAGCATAACAGGTCCCCTTTAAGTTTGCTAAACATTGTCTAAAGATTAAATTGTTTTAAGTAGGGCTTGAGGAAAGAATCTCTCTGAGCAATGTGAATGTCACATAAAATTAAACATGAGGAGGCAACTCATCAGCAGCTCTCAGTCCATTCACTGGTTCATATTATTGTTGTCAGCGTGTTAAATTTCAACAGACAGCCACAGGCAGTAGAAAATTATGGTAAAATGCATCTATAGCAGCAGAGCAAAATGCCAACCTCACACAAATGCTGCATGAAAACAGAAAAAGGCAACAACTGATAATACAGCAAACAAATGGGGACAAAAAGGGCATAATCCCCTTTGTAAGGCCTGCTGTCAGTTTTTTTTAGCAGTCGGAAAGACTAACAAATATTAGTGTAAAGCAGTGTAGGTTTTATTCATTACGTGAAATGCCCCCAAATACACACACATACATACACATATTCCTATCAGTAAAGTCCTGTGTTTGTCAGTCCTTGCAAAGGTCCATTGTAGAGCTGACCGTCCTTTTCACTGTCCACACCAAATAAGAACTCAAACCCACGCACTGAACTCTACATATACAGTGTAAAGGCACACACAATACACCTATACATGCACATACACAATGCAGTCCCCTGCGACGGAGATAACGCCACTGTGTCTGAAACATCCTGGAGCCTCATTCAGCCCTGACAAAAGAACGTGGCATGCATCTTAACAGAATTTGTAGATGGACATGTTTTATTTGTCACCGCCTTTGCTCAAGATTGAGTGATTTACCTCTTTTTGGGGGTGGGGGTCAAGTGTGATAATTTATTCTCTTCAGTTTGTGTGTGTGTGTGTGTGTGTGTGTGTGTGTGTGTGTGTTAGTGCGTGTGTGTTGACATCAGCTGTGGGTGCTGGGGGAGGGATGTGTGGGTTGGCCGAGGCGGAGCTATGCAATGAATTATTCAAGCTTTGGCCTTACTTTATCTGAAGGTGCGCACTTTCCTGCAATCAGCGCTTACATACATAACAACAGAGCACGTTCTGAACTTTGTGTGTGTGTGATTTGGAGAGTACGTACAGTATACATCATGCATGTGCAGAGAACAAGAGACGTACAACAATACAAGATGAATTAGAGCTTGTTTCAGGCACTCTTAAAATATTTCTATTTATTGTAGCTTGCTTCAACAAAACATTTGTCTCATCTAATCAGATGTTTTTTTTCATTACTGTTAAGATAAAATATTCTAAGATTTTGAAACAAAATACTTTTTGCAATGTACACATTTTAATATTTATATGCATACCACTGTCAAGTGATAGCCCTGGGAGAATGGGAAGTGGTTGTGTTTGTACATGCGCGCATACACACACCAAAGAAAGAGCACTGTGGACACGTGAGAGTGCGGCAAGGTGGAAACAGAGACAGACCGACAGTGACAATGGTGGCAGTGACAGGTTAGTGCACCATGGGACACGAGTCACCAAAGCTTTCCTCTCACTCACTCAACACCTGCCACTGTCCTCACACAGGAACACACACAGACACTCTAATGACAAAAAGGAGGAAGCCACAGAGTCAGGAGTGTTCCTGAGGCAGAGACAGAGCAACCCAGGGCTGAATAAATCATCATGTACTATTAAAAATATGCAGAATGCACTAATCGTTAAAGCAAGATCTCGATGCCAGACTAAGAAACAATATGTAATATACTGTAATAAGTTTCGTTACAAAAAAATTTGGTGCTGGACCACATGTCCTCAACGATTTCAATGTCCCAGACAAATAAGAGAAATTCAGGTCAAATATCATCTGTGCCTATAAATCTTTAAAAAATTGATACATTAAATGACATCATTAACAGATTAATTTTTTATTGACAACTAGGCTACTGTAGCTGTGACATTTTTTTCTGCGCACCAGTCACGTTGCTCTCACAGTTTACATCCATGTCTGTGAAAACATGGATGCTTCACACACATCTTCCCCCCGACAGCACAGAAGATCCACACCATTAGCACAGTTTCAAGGTGGACACTCAAGATCAGTGTCACGAATCCAGTATCTGACCAAATGTCTCCTCTTCTGTTCCTGAGATATGACGTTAAGTAATGGCCAAAAAAGTGTTTTATGCAGAATATCCTAATGTTACAGTGAAGTTGACTTTTGACCTTTTGGATA